GGGGGCCGCGCTCTGCCGGCGCCGGGAAGCTCCGCCCGCCGAGGGGCAAAGCGGCCCAAAGAACGCCCCTCGGCCGGTGGGTCAGTCCTTGCTTCCCTTCACGTCGGGGCTGCCCCCAGGGTGCTTCCTTCAGGAGACAGCACTTTTGGCACCGGTACGCGCCCCATCCCTGTCTGGGAGACACGACCGTGCCCCATCCCTGGAAACATTCCAGGCCAGGTTGGACGGGGCTCTGAGCAACCTGATCTGGTTAGCGGTGTCCCTGCTCACTGCAGGGGGGTTGGACTAGATGACCTCTAGGGGTCCCTTCCAACCCAAAACATTCTATGATTCTGTGATTCTGTGAATCTCTGCCTCCTGAACCGTGCATCGCCCCAGCTCTCGGCCGCCTTGGGGTTGCTGGGGGCTTCCCAGCTGCAGCCCCGTGGGGTATGTTCATTGCTTGTTTTCTCGCAGATGTTCAAGAAAAAGGGCCTTCCAGATTACCAAGTCCTTTCTGCCCATCCTGGAGTGGCTGCCCAACTACCGGGTGAAAGAGTGGCTGATCAGCGATATCATCTCAGGCGTCAGCACCGGCCTCGTCGCCACCTTGCAAGGTAAATCCAGGCACGTCGGCCCTCTGTCCTCGAGGGCCTTTCTGTAAGGCAGCCGGCTGAACACGGGGACGTTATGCAGATGGAATTACAAATCTGAGGCTGGTTATTTAATACTAGATATTAGGTATTATTTTGCGATAAATAATTGATGGTTTTAATTTATTCCTGTTTTCTCTACTTGGTTGGAAGATTTAAATTGCCTTTGATGTGCTATCAAGATGTATTTAACTTTTTTCCCCAAGCCTTTTACTCAAAGAGTATTCATTTTGATATTTAAAGTTTTAATTACGCTGTGATGAACCAGATAGGTCATTACTTCTCTTACTTGGTTGTCTGAGCCTATAGCTCTCCTGCAGCTGCCTACAAAAATCTAGTTATTGCCCCAAAATAATGCAACCTTGGTATCTGCTCTCCTTTAAAATTTGGCCCATGAGGTTGTTCAGGTATCTGCAGAAAACAACCCTCAAAGAGGTGGTGGCATATTCATATTAAAAAAATATAAATATATAAACTTGATGGATATTTACAGTACTTGGCTTGCAATATTATGTTTTCCTTATTTTCTTACTCCATTTATTAGGAAAGCACTCAGATTAACAAACAGAAAAGTGGCAGAAATAAGCAGAAATCAGTTAAAATAAGCTAGTTAAGGAAGACTTAAAGGGCAGAACCATTCTGTCTGAGGCAGCCCATAAGGTCCACTTTTGAAGGCAAGACTAGCTATAGCCCTGACGCGATCCAGCACGTTCATTTCTTTCATCTGAATAGTGTTCTTACGCTATTTTTCACAATTTTTCAGGACCGGGGGAGGTTAAGCCAGTTGTGTCAACCCCTCGTTTTCCCTCAGTGGAAATTAAGCATTTGCACAAGGGGGGCAGAGATTCACTTTGGGAACAAAGACAGCAGTTTACTCATCCCCAACTAGCCACACGTATTCCCTACTGTCTGTTCCCTGGGAGCGTGCTAGGAAGGCATAGACTGGCAGAAAAAAAGCCTTGCAAACTCCTGCCCCAGGCAGAGGGCGACCTGAGGAGTATGGAAGTGGTTTGTTCACATCCCCGCTGAGAGTCTGTGTCAGAGCTGGGAGATCTCTGCCCAAGGTAGTGTCACAGTTACAGGATTCCCCTGCCTTTTTAAAATGAACTGGGCTAGATGGGCTTTTCATGCAACTTACAACCACTGTTGCGCTCTTACTATAACCCCCTCATTTGGCTTTTTACATTGGGGACTGATTTTCCCACAGATAGATTCCACTTGTAAAAGTGATTTCTGAAATACCCTGTCTGGTCTCCCACCTATGTATTAAAAAAAAAAACCACAATAAAAAAAAAAACCCAAACCAGAAATTAGTGCAAATCTAAATCTATCTGTAATTACTGTCTGGTCTCCCACCTGTGTATTAAAAAAAAAAAACACAATAAAAAAAAAAACCAAACTAGAAATTAGTGCAAATCTAAATCTATCTGTAATTTTTTTAAAAAAATCTGAAATTCTAAATCATGCAATATGGGGAAAACTGGCCAAAATGTTTGCCAAAAAAGAGGCTTCTGGGATCCTGAGGTCCCTGAAGCCCCTAACTCCCAGCAGTTGTGTGCATTGCTTGCAGTCTTCCCAGCAGTCACAGCAGTATGACCAGGACTTTGACAGTTTTGAACTCTGGTAGGTTTTTGCAGTAACTCTGAAGGAGAATACTACACCCTGTAGCAGGAGCTGACCGGGATATGATACTGAAGGCAACTTTTTTTTTTTTTCCATTGTTTGTTGGATTTCACAGCTTGCACGGGTATACAAAGGAAGACTATGATATGGATCAAAACTCTCAAATTTGTATGATTTACTGTTGGTGTTTAAATTGATAAGCTGATACTAAAAAAAGAAGTGTCCTGATTTTCAGAAAGGCATATTTGTAGTGCAATAATTCAGAATCTGTGCTTGAAATTTCTGTCTATAACGAGAACACTTCACATATTCATCTTTTCTCTCAAGGGGCAAACCATTCGCTCTTGCAACAGTGTTCCCCCACTTAAACTTCACAGCTGAGCCCATGTTTTGTGCTCCCTGTACAAATATGGGAATACAGAACTCAGTACATACTCATCCAACTACCAGTGTGGGATATACAATCATTTACAATCACTGATACTCATATATGTGCCTCAACTGATCTACAGACAAACCACATTCTAAACTGTATCTGGACAAAATGAGTAAATCTTTCTGAAAGTCTATTCTAGACAAGGTAGTATTTTGTTGAGATATTTTAAATCTGACATTGTGATGATCTATCATTTCAGGTTTGGCATATGCTTTGCTGGTTGCAGTTCCTGTTGGATATGGTCTTTATTCTGCCTTTTTTCCCATCCTGACATACTTTTTCCTGGGAACATCAAGGCACATCTCAGTTGGTAACTGCATGTTTCCACATTACAGTGAATTATCTATTACAAAATATTAATCCTTACTGTGAACATTCATATTTCATAAAAGATAACTGCTTTCTGAGCCAAATTGGCTGTGCTGAATATTAATATTGGTGGGTTTGGGGGGCTTAAGGCTTATTTCTTCTCTGTGCAGGCAATTGTGCATAATAGCTAATTTCAGCTGTGCACCCGCATGCTTTTTGCTTGCATTTATGCTGAAGTTTAAATCTTGTCTTTGGCTACACACTATGCAAGAAATTACAAGATCAAGGCCTCAGTAGGCAGTACGAACAGACGTTTTGTCTACCAGCTAAAGCTCAAGATGGCTAAAACAGCTAAAACAGAGCTCTTAGTCTTCTCTCCAAGCCTTCCTTGCTGCATCCTTTTTTGATCACTGTGGACAATGCCATCTTCTTGCCTGTGGTGGAGACCCTGAACCTGTGTGTCCACTCCAGCCTCGCTCTAGGTCCTCGCATCAAGGCTATGGGTAAACCTTGTTGATTCTTTCTGGATACTTTCTTTAAAAGATGGGGCTTATTTCCTGTCAGTTCTCACATTTAAAATTAATCATGGAAGTTTCTTTTTCTTCATTCTAACAAAATACAGTCTTTCCTATTCACATCTACTAAGAATAGATTGTTTTCCCCTCCCAAAGCTTTGGCATGGTACTACGCTTTTTCATCAACTTTCTTCTCTGCTGCATCAAATACTTCTGTGTGTTCTCTCCACGCCTCTTCCTACCCACCTATCAGCTCACATTTGCTATCCAGGTCTCAGTTGTCACCTCTACTTATGTCGACATTCCTACTTTCTAGATTATCAAATGGTCCTTGTTACGCTTTTTACAATACTCTTATTCATTAAGTGTCTTCTAAGGTATCTGTAAAATTAACCTACCCTTCTTTAAGACATTTTGCAATGTTTTCCTTTTCTGCATAATTTTAGTAAATAACTGCAACAAATACGATTACTTTTAGCTTGTGTGTTGCTGACACAGTGATTGCTTACTCTCTCTGTATCTTGCCCAAAGTATAGTTTCAGTCATCTTTAGCCAATGTAATGCCACACTACTGCCAAAAGATGTGGTCCTACCCCTTGGTGCATGTTCCTGCCACCACCGTGGTGTTGGGATTCCTGACCATGTAGCTGTGTGGCAATCTGGATCAGCTGAAAACTAACCATGACCAAAAAAAATAGAATTAAATAAAAGTTGCTTTCGGCTGGATCAGTGGTCTTTTATCTGGTTGTGGTGCTGATACCAGGGAGATGGTTGGAACATGTTGCCCCTTTTGGCCTTGGTAGAGCCCTAAATTGGCTTAAGCAAAGCATGAAACTGTACCTGTACGTACAATGTAAGTTATTTAAGGAAGGAATTGTACCTTTGTGTCATGTTTGCAGTGCCTGTGGCTCCTGGCCCCCTAATACTACTAATGTACCCCAGTTAAAATATTGAATGGATTTTCTGATTGAGAGTTTGCTTGTCTAGTCTGATAAATGCTTCTTTTTGATGTATATTAAACTTTAGTGTGTTCTGTTTGTCATTACAGGTCCATTCCCTGTAGTCAGTTTGATGGTGGGATCTGTTGTATTGAGCATGGCCCCTGATGATAATTTTCTCATAGATGGCAGTAATGCTACAGGGACTAATGGTACTGGGCCACTGATAGACATTGAATCCAGAGATGCACAGAGAGTGCTGATTGCTAGTACCCTCACATTTCTGGTTGGAATTTTACAGGTAAAATAGTTGGCTTGAAGACACAAGGTTGATGCTGCTTTAATTTTAATGGGAAAACATATGGCATGGAAATAGCTACTAGGGCCGTAAGACATTTTCCTGTAGTAAACCACAAAATTGACAGAAAGTCATCTCAAACTCTGAAGAGCTTTTGGGGGATTATTCTTGTTATCCTGGGCAGAGACTGTGGCAGCGTGACTGGGAGCACAGACAGCAGAAGAATAGCCCTGTGACTGCAGACCAAGAGCCCTGCATGAAACCAAGGGCTAACGGTGCATATCCTGGAGCATCCTTTCACACATTCCTTCAGGTCTCCTTTATTTCCTTGGATGGCATGATACTAAGCTACACTAGGCTGTGATAGGGGAAGATGGTCCTAAGACTCTGTATCAACACGGATAAAAGAACAAAGCATAAGAAAGCACCAAATAAAAGCGTACTTTTTTGTTGTTTAGCAAGCTCTTAAATCTTCATTATTTTTCCAGGTAATATTTGGAGCCCTTCAGATTGGTTTCATTGTGAGGTACCTTGCAGATCCGCTAGTTGGGGGATTCACAACTGCAGCTGCTTTTCAAGTGCTGGTATCACAATTGAAAATAGTCCTGAATATTTCAACTAAAAACTATAATGGTGTCCTTTCCATAGTATATGTAAGTATGCCCTTCTAATCTGTTTTGGTTTTATCCCAGCATTTTTATATAATTGTTTATCTTCTGCTTCCATTTCATACAGGAGCAGTTCATATATATGGTGGTAGGTGTAGGGCATTCATTTAGTTCTCATTCTCACGAAGATCTGCAGCTGTTCTTTTATGGTTGTGGGGCTCTAAGCAGCTGCTTTCGGGTTTTCCCAGACAGAAAGACTAACTGCCATCTTGAAGTCTTTTTCAGACAGAGCAGTTTTTCAGATAAAGTTTAAATGTAATTATCCAGCAAAACAGTCACTCTTCTCTAGGTTGTCACTTCTGGAGACTACTTTCTGTCCCCCTTCCTTTCTGGCTTATTGCAAAGGATGTTTCATCATTCCTTCAGACTGTCTGGTTATCTCCCAAAGCTGACCAAGCCACTTTACTCTTAAACCAGTGGGTCATTCTGGTGAAAGGCATTGTTCTCCATTCCACACTGTAGTCATACCTGTGAATACCTAAAGATGGATGTGGATTCCCACCTTGCAGCCAGGTACCTACTGGTAAGCTAAGGTGAGGCTAAATGTTCCTGTCACAGCTCCATTTGTTGATCTTAGAGAAAAATATCAAATGGAGAAATGTCCTGGCTGGATTACAGAAATACTGAATTCCTAGAGGCCTCATATTACAGAATAGTCTCCTTCCCCAGGAAAAATATTAAGAGTTTTGTCACTGACTTCAGCATGAAACTATTCAGGTTCATAGTATTTTAGTCCATAGCACTTCACATTAGAATAACAGATTTCTAAAAGAGGCTCTTATAGGCAAAAAAAAATGTATTTACAGATTTTACATGCCAGTTCAGGCAACCAGACAAACAAAAATACATTAGACATCTAGATTAGCAACTACAGGATGAATGTAACTACAAGCAGCAAGGTAAAATTTAGAAAAAAACATCTGGTGGACTATTTAAAAAAAAAAAGTACTATGTTATGGGCCTTTTCAGAATTAAAGAATACTCCCTCAGAAAAAGGAAAATTAGTTGAGACAAAGTACTATCTAATAGACCTTAGAGCAGACCTGGCAGGGTGATGGACTCGCTAATACAGCAGGGTTTTCTATCTCTATTTTTTATGTTTATTGAAGGGTGATATTTAGTAGAAAGTACTTTTGAAAAGGAATTACATAGTTCTTCCAGCTCCTGCAAGCCTGAGTGGAATGCTGACTTCTTAGGTTAAAGCCGAAAGCTTCTGTGTTCTTACAGGTGAGCCAAGTCAATGTGTTTGCAGGTGTGTGTAGAGCAAAGAAATTGTGATTTCTGGTCTGCTCAAGCAGTGATTTGCTGTGTCCTCTTCAGCAAGTTTTGGACTTGCTTCAGAAGTGGTGTTTAACAAACTGGAACACTAAGCATCCAACATTAGCAGAATCCACAACCCAAAGTTAGGAAGTTACTGTTCCCCTCTGAAGTGGGGCAGTGCGGGCGATGGTCAGTAAGAATGGGATCCATGGTAAGCAGTGCAGCAGGCAAGAAATGGCTTCAGTCACACGAAGAAAGGCATCTGATTCAGTATTTCAGGAAGGCTTCTTCTTTAGCTTAGAAAACATAGCTGATTAAGCACTTAGACATTTCATTTCAAAACCAGAGTCTTTTCAGAATGGTAGTAGTGGTACTGCTGCTGCAACCCTCCCCTTGTCTTTAAACCGACAGCTCACTATTTGGGGAGGTAGCTAGGATGCAAGAAGTCTGTTTCTAACCCCTCTTCTACCAGATTGTTCTGTTCAAGCTACTTCACTATGCATGGAATAATTAAATTTTCTTGGAGACAGGGGCAAGTGAGAATTACCCTGATGCCTAGGAGGAAGACAGGAGTATTTGTAGCTTTTCTGTAATCAGATCTTCATGTTTCCTCTGTACACGTGTTTGCAGTAAATAGGACCAAGCAAGAGCATAGCAAGGGTAGGTGCCTATAGCAGCCCAGTTGTGAGAGTCCTCCAGCCTGGGCCTGAACTCTGCTGCGAGGGTTAATGTACTGTAAGGTGAGGTTTAGTGACTGCTTTTCGCAAGTGTAGGATTCTCCGTAGCCTGGCAGGACCTATGTGTTCATACTCATTCTCTGGATGTCAACAGTGGAAATGGGAGACATGTAATCCACAGACCATACATACTGGGCACATAGTGAACTGGAGTTTTGCTCATGGGTCTGCTAGATGTCTTTTGAATAAGGAAATTAGGATCTCCCTTGCTATTTGGACAAAGCAAAGAAGCTATATCTTCCCTTCCTTGCTCCAAGAACAGGCAGAGGTAAAACACAGGTAGGGGCTTAGGTCCTCTTACTTAGTATTAGCCTCCTAGAAATAGGGAAGCAAAAGCCCCCTGTGTGGACACTTCTTGCAGTTAAGCTTCTTCAGTTAAATTCACCATTAAATCCATTCCCTGATTCTGTAGCACCTTGACAGTATGTTGTCCTCAGGCTCCTCCAGGCCTGACAAAGAAGTAACTCGGTCTCCTCTAAAACCCCATGCACCTGGATCTTCTCATGAGTATTTTCACATCCTTCAAGTGAACATGGGCATGTTTTATGTTGTTGTTTTTATTTTTCAGACTCTTATTGAAACATTTGAAAAAATTGGTACCACCAACATTGCTGATCTTATTGCTGGACTCCTCACCATTTTTGTCTGCATGGTAGTTAAAGAAATAAACGATCGGTTCAAACACAAGATACCGATACCTATACCAATAGAAGTTATTGTGGTAAGCAAAGCAGCAGAACAAAAAGTGATAACAGGTAAAATAGATTGGGCTAGCTACAGGAAGACAAGAACCCTTTTTAAGCATTAAAACTGTTGTTTTGTTTTATTACAGACAATAGTAGCCACTGGTATTTCATATGCTGCAGACTTGGAAAAAAAGTACAATGCAGGCATTGTTAAGAGCATTCCAAGAGGGTGAGTGCCTTTATTTTCTGGGAAATAGGTATTATTTTAATTGGCTAAAAATTGCAGTGGTAAGAGAAAAAACAGAAAAGAGATACTGAGAACTGTAACCTGAGTTTAGAATTCAGAGCTGGAGATTTCCTGAGTTTTACTTCTGGCTTTGTCAGTTATGTCACCTAAGTATGTTGCCTAGCTTTTCTTCATCTGTAAAATGGGCTTAGGAACATCTACTTTATTCATGAAGTTCATCTGAGAATTAATTGCTTCATGCTCATGAAGTGAGTATATGACTATGGAAAATGTAAAAAAAAAAAAATTAAAGGATTTTTCCTAATGAGATTCTGCATATATTTAATTTCTGTAGACCTGAATTATCCCACTGTGGTTCATATTCATGCCGCTGCTGTTATCCCAATCAGTCTTGTCACTTCCATAGTCATACGAGCAAGGATGTTCAGGATTACACTGGTAGAGGCTTTCACTTGAAAGATTCAGAGCATTTCACAGTAGTAACCTTCACATTCCATTTGGTATTCAGGGCTTGAGTAATTAAAATTTGTGGAAACACAGTAGGGGATAAAATGTTTTTGAGATCTTCTGAAGAAGTATGTTAACAATAGTATGAAGTGTCATTAACATATTTATGTAATTCATCGTACTATTCAATACATCCCTTATTCAATGCTTCAAAAAATGTACTTTTTAACTTTGCTATCATAAGGCCAAATCTCAGTCATGCTGAGAACAATGGGAGCTTTGTTGCTGACTAATAGCATCAGGATTTGGGCTATGGTGAGCTAGATAAGCGTGTTCTGTATGTCAATGGGCTGTTTCCACCTTTTTATTAACTTGCAACATTACACTTCACATTATAAACAACCAGTATGCCTCCACCTCAAACTCCCTTGAGAATTCTAGTAAGAACAGAATTTTATCACAGTTGATAACACTAACATATTTTCTGAATGCTAGATTTTTGCCTCCTGAACCTCCAGATGTCAGCCTGTTTTCCCAGATGATAGCAGCCTCCTTTTCCATTGCTATTGTTGCTTATGCTATTGCCGTATCTGTGGGAAAAGTATATGCAACCAAGTATGACTATGCTATTGATGGAAACCAGGTATGTAGAACCAAAATGGTTTATAAACATAGTGAATTTAAGTTCTGTTACATGTTGACTTATGTAGCCAAATAAAAGAAACATCTTTCACACACGTTTTTCAGACCAATGTTGAAGTCCGACAGGACAAATTCTTTGAACTATTGGAAAAAAAAAAATAGCTGAAATGGCCATGTATTACCTGACAAATTTACCACGTAGAGATGAGCCAGATGTGCTCTATCTTCAGTACGGGCTTTTCAGACTAATTAATTCCTTCTGTATTGCTTTAGTGACTGCAATAGCTCTGAAAAGGTAATTAAAGATAACCACTGTATAGGCCAATTTTCTGGAGATGTTGAGTTGACATGGCCAGCTCTAGCGACCTGCTTTCCATTTCTACTCATCAGGCATATTTTGAGGTGTGTTGCTGGGGGGGGAAGGAAGCTAAGGAGCTGCTCCAGACAGCTTTAGTTAGGCTTAGTCTACATGCAGGATTTGTATCAGTCAAACTTCTCAGTTAAGGCATGATTTTATTCCTACAGAATAAACTGTTGTACTTCTCAGCATGACACTGGTTACATCAGTGTAAATATACTTGTAACCGTATAGCTAAGTCCTGCAGCTTCACAGAAGTAAAAGCCTACCAGCATGTGAACATACTTGAATAACTCTCAGCACCAAACAGCTGAATTGCTTTAACCATTGGTTTCTAAAGGCACATAGCTAGAACGTTACATGAGCTATGCACTGACAAGCTGTTAGAGGATTCCTGCCATTGTTCAGTGTCTTCACCAGGGGTTATGTGGCTTGCCCATGGGCGTGGGAGAGAAATGTCAGAAAGCTTCCTTGTCCCGCATCTATGCTAATTTTGAATTTTATCCTTTGAACATACGGAAAATACACTGACTACAATAAATAGATAAGCTGAGCACTTCGTTTAATGAGTCCTCCTTTTTTTAGTGCTAATGGTTTACACAAAGTTTGATTTTGGAAACACTGTTTTGCAGTATGTAACAAAATTACATTTCTGAACATGCGAGTCACTTTACAATACACAAAGCTTGTATCTGATAACACTTTGATTTAAAGTTGCCTAAAATGCATTGACTTTCAGTTTAATAAATCCGAATGAATAACACATATTCCTGGAAGTGCTGCTTATGCTGGTTTTTGTTGAATATGCTCTTCTGCCAGTACTGATGTGCTTCAAAGATCCTAATTAAATATTGTAGTAGTAGAATTACTGTCTACAAAAGCAAAGTGCTTTCCTTTCAATCCTATGCGCTGAATTTCACACATGCAGCCATGAATGATGGGCAAATAGTTTACTTGAACTGGAGAAGTTAAAATAACATCATAAAAGCAGGTAGTAAAATAATTTCAAAGGACAGGTCAATACCATTATGTGCTAGCGTTTATTTTGTCTTCATAAATTCATAGATTGTTAAGACCTAAGAACGCTATAGGAACTGTACTTCTAACGTTTTCTTGCAGAGCACATCTATTACACAGGAATAGGCATGAATCATCTAGGTCTGTTCTGTTAAAGGATATGACTTCAAAATCCTGCTCTTGTAGTTGGAGCTTAATGAAAAGCTTACAGGAAATTTCATTTTGGAGAAAAGAAGGGAGAGAGTCAAAATCAAATCTCAAATTGGATTTTTAAAAGTTTGCAGTGAGTGAAAAGCTTTTGTGGCTGTGTCAGCTTGGTGAAAACAATGTTTCTGTCAATTATATGGGGTTGCAGGCAGCTCCCAAATGCCTCATTTCCCAGCAGAGGAATGGCCCAGATCCCAGGACATAAACCTCCCAGGGTCCTTGTCACTTGAGCAGAACAACCAGCATCAGTAGGTGCCAGCATCTGTGACCCTGGGGCAAATCTATGAGAACGCTGCCTGGGACTCAGCGTGAGTTCATTGGGATGTTCAGAGTGAAAAACTTCTGGCTCAACAAACCAGAAGTTTTCAGTGAAACTGTGTTTTATTGCAAAGTTCCTGATTAGTTCTACCAATAATACAATGTTTTGCATTAATTAAAGGCTTGTCTCAACTCAGACTGCTGTACTGATTAAAATTATTTGTTTAGCTGGTGATATTTGGGAGTTAAATTTATACTAGTCCCATTTTTGATGTGATTACAGCAGTGTAACTGTTAGAAAAGTTAGGTTTGATAACTTTGATGGAAATAAGCATTAAACATCTTAATATAAAGACGAGTGTGTCTGTGTTAGGGAGGGTATATCAACTGTATTGTATTGATTTCCAAACAGCACACTGGCACAAGAAGAATTTGTGTAAAAATTTAACAGCTATTACTGATCCATACTCTTCTCAATATTATTGTGCTACCTACTTTATAAACTACTGTAGAAGCTCTTGTCATTCCCTGTTGCAAAATTGTCTTCAGGGATCTGTATTTACAGCATCATCCAATTATCTTTCAGGAGTTTATTGCCTTTGGGTTCAGCAACATTTTTTCAGGTGCCTTTTCTTGTTTTGTTGCAACTACTGCTCTTTCACGGACCGCAGTCCAAGAAAGTACTGGTGGAAAGACTCAGGTAATGACCTCTTCTCACTAGTACTGTGCACAGGTAAATTTAATCTTATATAGAGCACAGCTTTCACAACGGGATGGAAATAGTCCTCAAATGATTGTGTTGCTGGCACATGGAAAGCCACAGGTATCTTAGCCAGCAGCTTGTGCTCAGGTAGTGAATAATTTTTGTAGCTCTGCCTAATTCCCCAGAATTTCATTCCCAGTAAAGGGACTGAGCTTGTCACGGTAGGAGTTCAGCATGAGGGAGGAGCTCCTCTCGCAGCTGCCTATGAGGTATTTAAGCCCCCATGTGCTGGCCTGAGCAGCCCCACCAAATGCCTTTCATCATCTGCCCATGGGCCATCTTTCTCATGTTGAGTTTGCTACTGGTTTACAGTACTACAGCTTTGCACTTTTTAACAGCGGAGAACTACAGGTTATCCAGCAGCCCCTTTTGCAGCTGACGCACAGACTCTGCTCCTTTCATCTGTCTATGCAACGTAACCCCTCCAAGAGCTACTACCGTGCGTGCAGTTGTTTACACTACCTGCTTAATTGAATTCCCTCTGTGTTAGCTGAAGTGTATAACGATTGCCCATGTATGCCTAAACACAATAGCATTTTGGCAGGTCTCCTTGTTCCTAAAGAAATTTAATGTGCAACTACCTGGACATTTTTCTTTGTAATCCTAGAAACATAAGATAAAGTCTTAATAGTTCATTTCCTAATAAACACTCTGTTCTTTGCAGGTTGCTGGTATAATCTCAGCTGGGATTGTTTTGATTTCCATTGTTGCCCTGGGGAAGTTGCTAGAACCCTTACAAAAGGTACCGTACTTGTCCTCTGCAGCACAGCCACCAGCACGAATCACATCCAAATGCTCAACTTTGATGGGCAGGATTAATAGCCCTGTTAATACTATGGTGACTGACACCAGATGAGGCTCTGGTTTATAGTGTATAATGTTGAGTGCTACCTTAATATGTCTTTGCCTCTGAATAACACTTTTTCATCATTTTTCTTCACAGTCTGTGTTGGCAGCTGTAGTCATAGCTAACTTGAAAGGGATGTTCATGCAAGTGTTTGATGTTCCCCGTCTGTGGAGACAGAATAAAGTGGATGCTGTAAGTAACCTGATTTTTTCTTTTCTCTTTGTTTTTTTCTGGTTTCCTTTTTGCCTTTTAATGCCATCCAAGTTTCTTGTATCTACCACATAAACAGAATTTTGTAGAGTTAACATCAGAAAACTTCTGTGTGTGTCCTCAAAATACACGTGCCATGAGGTCAGTTAAAAAGTCCCCATTTTAGAGTTTTACATAGTATTCTGCTTATCTTCTTTATTCCCTATACCACACAGTAAGGGTGCCGATCAAGGTATTCCCATGCAGTGCTGACTCCTTCATAGCAATTACTGTGGTTTACAGGAATCTTTTGTTGAGATGGCTTAAAAATCAGAATAAAGATGACCTGTCGCCACCTTTACCATTCTGCTTTTGTCTTTTGCACAGTTTAAATGGGTCAGAAAAGCTGACCTTTTCTTAATTCATGTACATATATTTATGTTGTTACCACATTAGCATCCCATTTGCCCGAATAATCTCGGGTAGTCCTCAGGAAATATGTTTTCTTGTTGTAGCAAGACTAATCCAAGCTAGACTGTGGATTCATTTGGCATGCTAAGGGATATATGAACAGGTTTTTCTTATGAACCAGTATAACTGTATTTCAGGGTACTTGCTCCCGCTGTGGCTGTTAGGGCAGGAAAAGATTGCATGGAAAGTATTTTCTCCGTGCAGTCCTTACTATGTGTAGTTTTTACAGTGTGTGTCAATGGGCAGTACCTGCCTTAGGTAGACCTGAAATTTTTTAGTCAATCATTTACTAGTCCTCCTTATAGGTAAAAGGTCCCACTGACTTGAGTGAGAAGTGCGGGCACTCAGCTTTTTGAATGATTGGGCCCACTGGGTGTTCTGCGTGGGCAGTGGCGTAGAGAGGAACTGAGGAGCCCACTTCAACTTCAACTGTTCTGCCTGAATATTCAGTGGAGACTTTAGAGAGTGCTATCAACCTGTTAATATGAAATGCATCTCTTTGGAACAGTTCTGATTCCTAGATACCACTGAGGAGCCTCCTCCCCTCTCTATATGTCTGCAGGTGGGCATCTTACGCTATTTTACATCTTGGGAAAATAAATTATTCCCAATTTCTAAAGAAATATTAACAAAGACTACCACCATTCGAAAGAAGAAAATGGAAGTGTTAACTGCATCCCCTTTAATTTCACCAAAGTAATGGGATCCTTGAAAAATGTTGTTACGTTAAAAAAACTTATTTCCTAAAAAGCTAACTATGCCTAATAAGATAGTGATGAATAGAAGCATCCTGGAGGAAGAGGAAGACTTTTGTATGGAAGTCTGCTAATTGCCAGTGTGCTATGATCACCTCCAAAGTTAAATTCTTGTGCTACTCATATTGTCTGGTCTAGTGATTCTTTAGCGTGACCAGGAGTTATATGTTATAATTAAAAGACTTTACATTTGTTATTTCCTCTCCAGATGATCTGGGTTTTTACATGTGTAGCATCCATCATTCTGGGACTTGATTTGGGATTACTTGCTGGCCTTTTGTTTGGATTGCTGACAGTTGTGCTGAGAGTTCAGTTGTAAGTAACACAGGATCAGAAATAATTGTTAGTGTTATACCATGAAAAAGGAGGACAATATGCTGAAAAGCATGTTTTGGGTTTTACAAACTTCAAAACAATTTCCTTCAACAGTAAAAATATATCTGGAGACTGCAAAATATTTTGGTTTTGTTACTGACTGAAATAAAAAGTAAAAGGGTAGACAAAAAGTTTTAAGTAATCTGAAAAGAATGTAAAAGTATTGTTTCAGTTGATTTGAAACGAAAAAAGTGATCAATTTTTTTTCAGAGTCAAAAAATTGTTTTTTCATTCAAACCAAACTAATCTGCTTTTAAAACATTTTTCTGGTTTGGGAAAAAAATTGAACAAGTTATTCATTCAGCTCTATGTAATAATGGTGCAGCAAGTAGGCTGAGACCAAAGTACCTTGTCTTTAAAAAGGACCATTCGCTACAGATGGGAAGAATCGCACAGCAGCACAAAACAAAGATATAACACTTTTCCAATGAGGCTATTAGTTTGGCAGAAGAGAGCAGACTACAAGAGCCTATGACAGTTTGTATGCAGCAATCCCTTCAATTGTGTGAATGCCGAAGCATGATATTTATCTTCACTGTCTTGTCTTTTTGTTTCTGTTAGTCCTTCATGGGGTGGCTTTGGAAACATTCCCGGCACAGACATCTACAAGAAAGTCAAGGACTACAAAAATGTAAGTCGTTGCTGAGTTGTTTCCCTTCAGTCTACAACCCAGTGTAAGACAAAGTTGTACTTTGCGTATTGTGGACAACTTGAATTTCGAAGTGCTCAAAGATGATGACAAGTTTCAGCATTAAATTCTTCATCTTGAACCAGATGGCTGGTCCATATTGCATGCTGGGGCTGTAAGCTTCTAAAAACTGAATCACCTCAATTATCAGCAAAGAATACGCCATTTTTTTTGTGAATTAGATACGTAGCTGAACTGTTGGAACAGTTCAGCTTCTTATTAGCCAAAATATGGTTGTTGCGGCTTAACCTTAAATTCTTTGGCAACAGGTTATAGAACCAGAAGGTGTGAAGATTCTGAAGTTTTCAAGTCCAATTTTTTATGCTAACATCGATGGACTGAAAAGTAGCCTCAAATCCATAGTAAGTGATATGTGATGGTTTTGCATGCTTCTTAACTGTCTTTGAGATTTCCTCAGAATTATATCTAGGTAAAATGAAATCATTTTGATGTCTTGATCCTTTTTCTGTAGGTGGGATTTGATGCAGTCAAGGTATACAATAAGAGACTCAAAGCCCTGAGAAAGATACAAAAGCTAATCAAGAAGGGGAAATTAAAAGCTACTAAGGTAAAACAAATATTTCCTTCTATTTCTCAAAGGATTACTGTTAGAGCTTGTTTAGCTTTAATTATAAGTTCCTCTACACTCATCTTTAAAATAAAGATAGAAAAGTGTGACTTATTACTATGGTAGGAAGTCTGGGACCTGCAGGAGACTTACCAGAGCAGTATACCCATTGCCAAAGACCCCACAGATTCAGGCAGCTGTGACAGTCGTAGTGTTAACAGGAGTGGAAGCAAGAGATTCCCTGATCTTCCTTCTAACCCCCACCACCTCAGATTGTCTCTGGTCTGTGGAAGTGCTGGCTCTTTCATGTGTATGTGCTCCTACCATCCAGCTTCCCATGTACAGGTGAGCTGTATCAGTTGGCTGGTTAGACACAGCCTTCCACATCCTCTTTAAAGAAAGCAGCATATGTTCTTCTGAGTATGGAATGTACATTTCAATAATTAAGTGCTTACATTTAATTGTGCAGGTACTAGCAATCTATTAAATCTCCAGAGCTGGAAGTTAGAAATGGGTTTTCCGTTGTCATTGCTCTCAGTGATTTGATGCAGTTAAATGCTGTTGTATGACATTTCAGCTTTTGACTTAGTCATCTTACCATGTTATCACATATAGTAAATCTAATTCAAAGCTGAAAATACTGGTCTTAAATATCTCCTAGAAATAAAGCTGTTGAGGGAGGAAGTAGCTCTGAGATATTTATTTTTCTGGATAGTGGCCTTTTTGCAGGAAGATGCTCTTTTTGATGCAGTTAAATGCTGTTGTATGACATTTCAGCTTTTGACTTAGTCATCTTACCATGTTATCACATATAGTAAATCTAATTCAAAGCTGAAAATACTGGTCTTAAATATCTCCTAGAAATAAAGCTGTTGAGGGAGGAAGTAGCTCTGAGATATTTATTTTTCTGGATAGTGGCCTTTTTGCAGGAAGATGCTCTTTCAACAAAGAAAAAAAGAGGAAAGGAAATACACTGCACAGAGGAGGAGGTAGTAATGATGTGCTCTATCTTGGTTTTCTTTAAATTCTGGGATGCAGTACTGTCACCTGACACTAAGGAGACAGGTTCTTTTAGGGATCCTTGGCAGAATGATGATGGCACTAAATTGTAGTTACAATTAAAACTTTATTTTTCTTTACCAGATCTTATGATTAGTATAGCACAGAATTTATTATTAGAATGGCACGGAATTTCTACAAATAGAATCAATGTAGTACAATTTATAAGTAGCATAATACAGAATTTATAATATAACTCAACTTATTGTTTTTAATCACCTACACCCTAACTTTACTTATGGATTCTAATCACCTGGACCCTCTGCAGATCAGATCTTAACACCTAGTTTGATGTATCAATATGACAATCAAAATCTAGACTCAAAAATCATATAAAAGAAGATGAGTCACTCACCCAGTCCTCAAAGGAAGCTGATGATGGTGGAGGCATCCCTGGCCACCAGGGGGTCACAGGTCTCACTGTCCAGCAGCAGTTCTAGTCCAAATTCCCCACTTAGGACTTGCAACTGCTTGATTTTATAGACAGTGTTCTGTGCGCTGTTACACTTCCCTGTTCTGTGATGGGGTCATCAACAACACCTGGTTGGCTGTATGCCTGGCAAGGAAGGGAGTAATCACCCTGGCACCCAGGAATCTTGAGGCTGGTAGGGAGGGGAAGAAGAAATCTGGTTTGTCTACTTGGTTCACAGGACCTTCAAGGCCTGAGAATAAGGGGAAAGGGAACGAATATGTGACCTGCTTGGTCACAGAGAATGGCTGCTTGCCTTATAAAATGGTGTTAGTTATGCTAACTACACAACCAGGGGTTGGGAGCAGGGGGTACCAGCCACAAGTATCCATCTTGTTCATTCCTGAAACAGAAGTTATCACAGGGAAGTATTTCCTGTAACTCCAAAACTTTCTCCATGATTAACTGTCGTATTCCACATATTATCTGCACACTAGAATGGCATCATCAGTGAGCCTGGTATTAATAACGAAGCCTTTGAGACTGATGAGGAACCTGAAGGCAATGAAGATCTTCAAGTTCCCACCAAAGAAGTAGAGATCCAGGTGGACTGGAATTCAGAACTCCCAGTCAAAGTGAACATTCCCAAGGTGCCCATCCACAGTCTCATTCTTGATTTTGGAGCAGTAACCTTCCTGGATATTGTAGCTGTGAGATCAATAAAAACGGTAAGGGCATTTTTTTCTGGTGTTCCAGGAAAATGAAACTAGTCAGTAGTATGTAAATCAAGAGCTGTTAGCTGAAGTCAATTTCTGTATTTTTGAAAGTCTATTGCTGAAAAATACCTTTAAAACTTATACAGCAAGGGATATAATGTTGGGGTGTGCCTATTTTAGGTGGAAAAAAAATCCAAAAAATGCATTAAAAGAACAACATGAAGGTTGCATGGTCAAGTACTTTAAAATTAGAATCTCAAAATATGGTCCACTAGTATGCATTTTGTTATGAAATATTTTAGTTATATATTTGCTTTCCACATGCCTCCTGCTTTAATCCGGGCACAGGATAATGCTCAGTCAACACAGAGGTAGTAAAATTTTCATCTTAGGATCACCTCAGTCTTTAGCTACACGATTTCTTTATTCATTCCATATTATTTAAATTATGAAGGAAGGAAGAATGATTCATTTCTTTATAGGGTTTTCTGTGGCTGATATTAGAGCACTTCATCAACATTCATTAATTCAGCTTCAAACATCACACCGAGTAATAAGGAGATAATACTGCTAGTTTAGGGAGAGGGAAATGAGGTGAAGAGATTAAGGCCAAGTATTTCCATTATCTTTTGGTGCCCAGTTACAAGTGTGTAGGACCAGATTGTCCAGTCTTTAGTCTTTTATGATACTTGGTACGTTCAGATTGCTGCTTTCACTAACTTCATTTTGCAGTTGGGACTGCTTAGACTACCTGTAAACCAGATCTTAAGATTACCAAGCCTCTAGTTTATCAATGAACAGAAGGGGATGGAATTAGTAATCACCTCAGAAAATACTATTCTAAGAGACTTGCCTGCCAACAGGGAGCCAGGAAATACGGGAATGCTGTGTGCCTTGCTTCAGCCTTCTGCCTAGTTTTGATTCAGTTCCGGCTTCTGAGACAAAAGAGATATGGGGTCCACAGACATGACTCTTTCCACATGCAGCTTTTTCATCCAAGAACAGGTCTGCCTGGTGCAGTGCATGAAGGAAATTGCATGTGCCAATGAAAGATTGTATCATATCACACATACATGTGGAGAAATAAAGCTTACTCAGGCCCATGTGGTTCTCACTTGAGGAGCCATGATTATTCATATTATGAGAACACAAATGAGAACCTTAATAGGCAGCAATGTATGTATGTGTCAGATTGTTAGTTCCACTTATATAGTCGAAGATAGGCCACTTCAGCAACCAGGTACTTAACCACTGGATCTTTAAGTATAGTAAAGCATAGCAGTTCCTTATTTATAAAGGAAACATATTATAAACAAATTATATATTATATTGTTATATATATAAAATATATAATATTTATAAACAAAACATACAATTTAGAATTAATACAGTCAGAAACAAATGAAAGTGTGTGTGTGTGTTTGCCTATACGTTACATATATAGACATATATACATATATTTTCTCCTTGTGGACTTTATTTACTTATGTCCTTGTTGCAAACTTTTTTTTTTTTAGATCATTAGAGAGTTTGAGAGAATTGATGTGAGAGTATACTTTGCTTCATATCAAGGTAAACATCCAAGTACTTCTACTACCACTCATGCAAAGAATAAAATGAAGATGAGAAGGGATGAGAAGTGATTTCTAGATGTGTCTGTGGGAGCATTTGTTCTAATAAAAATGTGAATTATCATACTGAGAAACATGGTGGGCTGCGGTGGGACACAAAGAATGGTGGGGTTTAAAGGAAATATGGAAAGTTAAGTCAAGACAAAGCTATGACTGACTGATTGATTTATCTGTATGTTTGATTTCTGATAGTTGCAACCATGTATTTTGACATTTCTTTCTTAAATTACTTCAAATTCTATTAACCTGTTATGACTTTCTTTTATTCAGACAACCTTATATCTCAACTGGAACAGAGTGATTTCTTTGATGATATTGTCAGAAAAGACATATTCTTCTTGACTGTCCATGATGCTGTGCTCTACATAAGGAATCAGATGACATACAGTGACAACCAGGATCCCATATTTGAGAAGGTAAGAATATCCAGTAGTATTTCCCTTCCTTCTGTCATCTAGCTTTCATTCTTGCAATTTCCATTACAGCATGGCACGTTCAAAAACTGGACATAGAGTTGTAGTACAAAAAAAGTGAGGGTCCAGTAAATTGGATAGCTTCTATAGTACAAAAATATTTTGCTAGATCAAAGGAAGGGTCCGTTGACCCCAGGATCTTGTTAATGAAAAGAACATGAGAAACAGGACATCTGGAGAAGACTTCATCCTGAGACACATTTTCTAGTTTCTGACAACTGGCAGCTTAAGAACTTCCTCAGCTGAAGGTTGCATTTGGACCATTATACTTAATCGTCACAGATGGAGTTTTCTTCAGTGTGTCTGTCATACTCCTTTTGGAACCCCTTTACACTTTTTAGCTTGACACGATCCTGTGGAGATGGGTTCTGTAATTTTAAATGTGTTATATGACAAATACTTCCTGTTTTAAGCCTGTTGAATTTCTGGATTGCTAGTTGCAATGAATAATCATTCCTTGCTCCCCTTCCCAACACTATTGATAATTTCATACACCTCTGATCAAAGCTGAAGAGTCCCGTTCTACTTCGTGTGAATGTGCATGGAAGCTGTTCCATGCTAGTGTTCATTCCTACTGCCCTTCTCTGTGCATTTCCCAGTTGTATTCTGTGTTTTTTGAGAGAACCAGAACACATGGTGGCCTTTAAAGATGTGGGCCCACATTAGGAAAATGGCTTTATAATGTTCTCCTGTCTTTTCACCACAATTCCTTCCCTATTCCCCATATTACAGTATTATGAATAAAGGGTAATTCAAATTAATATTACTGATAAATAACTAGGACAGGACCCTTATTTGTGGATAATTTTTGCATATTACTATCTTACAGTAGAGAATAACATTTTGACAAAGGTATACAGCAGTTTAGAGACAGATTCTGCTTTTATTATTTTTACAAAGCCATAACTAGTCATATGAGGAGAGGCAGGACCAAAAGCTTTTCAACATTTAAGTTCCTCTCAGCTTTGTCAAGGGACAGTAAACAACAGACTCTTGTAAGTTATAGAAGTTATCTTAAGGTAGTAGAAGTTATCTTAAGGTACTTCACAGTATTAAATAAGTGTCAATGACATGGACAACGGGTAACTCATCATGTTTCTTAATTTCTTTCCGCCAAGATTTCACTCATGCAGGAGTCTAAAGAACCCATAGAATTCACAGAAACAAGCCGGCCTGATGATGAACTTGACGTTCAGGAAGAGGTACGCACTTTAGAACTGAATGTGTCTATTACTTACAGAATACTGCTGGGTTTATTCCTTTGCCTGTAGCAGTGAGTCATGTGTATGGTGGATGAACTGAGCCCTCAACAGTTTCCTTCTCCATAAATAAATGCCCTCCCTGGGTACCTGAATGCCAGTGCTTAGCAGAGGGAGTCATTTTTCTTGAGGTGAGGTCAATCACATGTGCACCAGCACCTCCTGAGCTCTGTTGCTTTAGGACTACTTTTGCCTTACACAGGCTTACAAATAGATCTAAACACAAGTTAGGTGCCTAAAAGAAGACTTGGTAAGCCTTGAGGCACCCGAGTCCAAAATTATGGTCAACCTCCCCCCTTCATTCCTCCTTTTAGCACAGCAGACACCTTCTTGCACAATCTGAACATTTTACAGGAAGCTGCGGCAAAGCAGCGTACTGAACATAACAAACAGGCAACAACACAAGTCCATTAAAGCAATACCACATTCAACTCAGTAGTTTTTAGTTAACACATACACAAACGTTTTATTTTTTTGAGCAGTGTGTACTCAGAACTAACCACGGCCTGCTTCTCTGCACCTTTTGAAAACCATTTCACTAGGCTATGCGCAGACTTGCTTCATGAGGACGGGCTGCTGGAGCTGTCTCACCTGTGAAATCACAGCAATATTTATGCACCGGTACTATCTGCAGTGGAACCAATCTTTGCACTTGAAGAAAACCCTGATTGTTTGTCTGAATGATACAGATCTCTACAAATCTCCAAATTTTAGCTAACGTTATCGCAGAAATATTCTGGACCTTGATTCAGCAGGCACTTTTTGATAGATTGATAAAAAAAATCAGAATACCATTATGAAAGATGTACTCAGATTTGGGACTAGTCAGGCAGAAGGTGCATTACACTGTTCTGTCAGGGTGTGCGGGATGAAAAGCTGCTTTGTGCTCTGCCCAGGAGAGTTGAAGAGACCAAAACCTTTGGATGGCAGGCCTTTTGTCCTGTATTTGCACAACGCCCAGCCAGAGGGCAGGAGTTCTAGCTGGCCAAGGCTTTGCAATTCTAGAACATTAGTGTGAGCATACGTGCTGACAACTCTTGAAAAATGTATTGTGATCATTTTTTTCCAAGCAACTCCTTTAATTGCTGCAGTTGTTAGGTAACTGAAACAGGTGACAGGTGAAACAATCACAGGAACAGAAAATGGCACTGAACTGCTACAAAACTTCAAACAGGGTAAGTTTCAATAGAAAAGACCCTTGGATATGGGTTCATTAGTTCTATATTAATCTCATTGTAGCAAACCATGCACTACTATTAACGATTGTCCCTAAAACAAAGTATACACAGAAGATTATTTTGGCAGACCATGACATAAATTAGATTAACAAAAACCTTAGTCCCCAAGTACTTAATGGAATCTGTAGAACAGGCTGCTGCTGAGTGCAAGTAAGGAAGTCAGAATGTGACCTAGTATAGAGGTTTGGGGTTTTTTTAAATGAAATATAGGAGTTTATTTAGTTTAATGGAGTTTTATTTTTATATAGTATATTTTTTCTTTTAATATTCTATATCAAACTGCTGGTGTTCTTTTACATCTGACAGTCCATAATGCACAAGTGCAATAATTTACAAAAGATAAAGGATTTGACCAACAAAACTTTAATCCTTACTTTAGGACTATATAAAATACATATGCAGGAAATCACTGTTCCTACTTTTCATGAAGAAGGAATGTGTTTTGATGGAAAACACACTGCTACCTTAAATTTTTTAGCACTACATTGATTTTGTTTTTAAATAGAAAAAAAAGGTGTATGGTGAGGGAACAGATAACACCAAAAGTGTAAGAAATGTCCAGGTATAAAATCGCTTTAAGTTTCACAATGTGGGCTAATTAGCTTCAGTATGTTCACGTTTGTAAGTCTTATTTGATTACATCAGAGAAATTTTCCTATGTCACATTGCACAGAGAAGATTTTTGCTGCAAGTAATGGTAGCGGAAAATCTCAGGTGAAAAGCTAAGCACTAAATAAATTAATTCTGTCATAAGGACCTGAGTGAATTCCATCAAAATCGGTGAAAAAAATCCTGCAACCTTCAGTCAGTTGGACAGTATCTTACACAGTAGGAAACGGCACCAGACTGACATCTTTGTTCTCTAATTAAGGCAACACCTCCAGTCCTCATGACGGTCACTGAAGTTTCTCATTACAAATGCAATCCAGGCTCAAACGTAGATGATATTGATGCCCCAGTCCAAGCCAGCAAAACCGCGTGTTTGTATTTACAAATAGCCACGTGCCATTTGTACGTCAGATTGGCACCTCCACCAGCTGAGAATTAGGCATGAGTTTAAGTGGCAGATCAGACCGATCTGCGCCTCCTCAGCTGGAAGTACTGGCTTCTATTTACGCTAACACGTAGGCTCAGGCTGTGATTTGACAACTTGCGCTTTTAGCGCTACCCATCCTCATTCTCTCCCCTTCCATCCGCCGGCCTAACACAGGAGGTTGGCGCTTCTGCCCACGTTACTGACAAAACTTTCCCATCAGGCTACTGCCCTGACTTACTTTAGCCTGAATATAAGACACTGTTGCCAGTGCACACAGCACGTAGTGATGAAGAACAAGGCCAGTAGCCATGTTTCTCAGAAGCTGCATTGCTTTTCTAAAGCGGATGTACATTGTATGTAAAAAATAAAATATTCTCCCTGGGACTGATAAGCGAGCTTTCAGCTGATTTTTATGCAGAACACACTATGGAAAAGATGGTATAAGACCCGATAGCAGTGGATGGTTTTTTTCCCTGAAGAGAACCACCTGCATTGTCAAGTTTGAGCGTAGATTCTTACTTGACAGAAACATGGGCTTACATTATTTTTGAACCTTCTCCAGTTCTTGTCCACACAGGTATTTAGAAAAAGCAATTAAATATTCAACAGTCTTCCAGTTTCCTTTCCAAATATGACATTTCAGCTGGAATTAATTGTGATAAAAGACAATGCAATGCACTTATTCTTGGCCTGCATATTTCTTCAAGGCATGGTTGTATTCTTAATTTAACTGGCACAAAACGCTCAACTTTCCCTGAAAAACAGCACTGCACACAAAGCCTACAGAGAACAATAAGAGGTAACGCGCAGAAGGCATTCAAATACCTTCCTCAGTGGGTCAGGGGGTATATGCTTCTTAATTTTCTATCTATGTATCCACCAAAATGAAGGATACCAAAATAATGGATTTTGCAACAGAGCTAAAAATTCTATACAATTTTGTACTAATTCAAACATCCGTAGATAATGCATCTAGACGTGCTTATCTTTTTCCAGTAGAATGAAGAACTGGTATTTTTGTACGCATTTTGAGTATTACTATTCCATCTTCGCATGTCAGATATTAAATTTGGAGATATATTTTAAGTTTTTTACTCTTTTAAAAAGCTGCATTTTAGAAGTAAGTGTATTCATTAACTAGAAAATAAAGTTGTGTATACTGAAAACACACTCCATGCATCTGCTTTTTTTTTTTTTTTAAAGACTTTGTGAATGGGGAAATAAAGCATGCTATGCAGGGATCAGCGTCACACTTCCCTTGGGCCTGCCTTTTAAGGAACAAAGACAAAAGGGAAAACCTGTTCTCTGTGCCTTGTAGGGGTAAGACAAGAAACATTAGGCTTAAATGGCAGCTTTTGTATCGTTAGGCTCTAAAGATAACGAGAGATGCGGTCTGTAGGGACACAAGATCCCAATCCTGGAGACTTCCAGCCAGGCAGTCACCAATTTGAAGTGGCTGGAGTAGAGTGGCTCTACCTTGGGGCTGCGGAAGGGCTGCTTAAGGCCACCTTTTACCCTATAGCCTATGATTTAACTGTATATTCCTTTCCTGTCTGCAGTGCTACAGGAGCACTCTGAAGACCAGATCCCACTGAATTACGTAGGGTTTACAGAAATCCGTGGAAGCAGCCTCTCCAGGTAGCGAGCTCTATTGGTGTGCACTGGAGATCCCCTCTCCACCCCGCCTGCGGCATTTCTATAGCCCCGACTGTCAGCAACCTGCCGTGCCCATGGCAAAACTTAGGGCTGACCGTTAGCAGCTGAGAGATTTGTCCCATTTCTGGGAATTCCGCACCCCACCGCCCGCCCTCCCGCTGAGCCCGCGTCGGGCCGGGCACGGCTCCGGAACGGAGAACCCTCTCGCTGCTGATGTCAAGCCGCAGGCCCGTGCCCCCTATTTCCAGCCCCGCTCCCCTGCTGCGGCTCCAAGGCCTTCCCAAGCCCGGCATCGCCCCAGCCGCTCAG